TATATATGAACTGACAGCTACTGTAACCAGAAGAGTTAGGGAAAATTTTAGGGAAGGAAAATTCAGCCTTATGATACCTGTGCAAATTAGAGCCAAATTTTGTTTACAAACATGCTTAGGCTCAAAGAAAGCAGATTCAAGTACTTGCCAGCCATAATTAATACAAAGTAACTCTCTTTAATATCCAACCAGTTACCTCATATCTGGGAGGGAGGAGGGGAATTTAATTATGCAAAATTGATGCTTCCACTAAAATTGAACTAGTAAGTCAACCTGCTTACTGAAAGGTTTCATTTTTTTAATTAAAAAAATTGTTCATTTAAAAGACCCACACTTAAAACAAACAAAAAAGAGAAATATTTCATTAAATGATAACATAACTCTGAATACAATTCAGAACATATTAAATAAGTGGTACCAGTGCAAATCATTGCAAAAGCAACTTTTAACAGGGAAATTGTTTTAATACAGGAAGCATTTCTATTTTCCAGTATACTTAAAGGAAAAAAAAAAGCAAATTAAACACAAAAAAGCTCAAAATGTTTAGTGAGGGTATTCAGACTCATTCTAAAATATAAACAAACTGTAAAAAAGCCTAGATAAATATACTACTTTGACTTGCCTGCTCTGTTCAACTCTGTATCTTTTAACAACGACCTACAATATTGCTTTTACCTGATAGTTAGGATTATCTACCATAGGTGCTTTCCATTTTCCTTTATAGTTTGGGTTATTCTTCATGGGACGCACCCACTGTCCACAACCAGGTGCAGTCTCACACTTTGGATTAGGGATCTGAGGGGCTTCCCACTCCCCATCCATTTCTTCATCCCTACAGAAAAAAAAAAAAGAAAAATTACAAACAATTGATTTGAGATCAGACTGGTCTGAACAATAGCAGTCAGTCTGAAGTTAGGGTCCATAAACATTTTGCTATAACAACCTCAGAATTTTGACCAGCTCACAGAATTTACCCAACAGTATAAACACTAATTTTTTTTTTTTTTTAATGGAGTGCTACACCCCCCTTTTTTTTTTTTAAAGGTCACATGTTCATAACTACCACAGCATGATTGAATGCAATTGTATTCCTGCATCTGCAGACAGCTTGAAACACTTCTCCATAAGGTGCTTAAATATCTCTTTGAGACTATTCTATGATGATTTCAGGTTATCAACTTAAACTCAAATTCTTTCAAAGGGGTCCTTCATATTCTGTTTTTGTTTATATATCTTGAGAAAACAAAATGCAATTGACATGAATATGTTTTTCTAAAAGCAGCCTCCCAAAACACAAGTATTTGGCCATACCTTACACATTCCAACTTACTACCTCAAAAGACAGCGAGATTTGGATTGATTTCTGATGCACAACTCAATTTGCGACAGAGAATAGGCAGACTTATCGCAAGACACGTTAACAACATGCGCTTACTGATCAATTTCTTACCAGTCCTTTGGTTTTTTTGCATTAGGGTCTGGAACATACTGTGGTTCATCATCAAGCCATCCCTCAGGTTTAACAGCATCAGGATCTTCTATTTTGGAAGGCTCATTTTCATCCCTTCAATTACAGACTTATGTTAGAAAATACAGCAGCCCGACATTGAACCAATGTTCTGTTCAGAGGACTGCAACTGGCATGAAAGGGATGATTTTCAAAGGCACGACAGAATTAGACACGCTGATCATGGGAATTAGACATCCAAGTATCTGTTTATAAATATCTGAATTATATTTACACTGTTTCAAAGTAGTACTTAGCCCAGAAATTGCTGCCATCAACTGGCAGGTGTCAGTCAGGTCTTCCCATTAAGTTTTTCCCTCTTCTTCCCTCAGGAAGAAGTTCACACAGAAGAAAGCAGAAATCATTAAGTGTAAATTAAGACTCTATGGTGAAAAAACACCCCTCTTCCTAATCTTTCAGTTACAGTAATCTTAATTATTAATTGCAACCATAGAGGGTACAAATCAGCAAAAAGCACAATTATTTCTTTCCTTAGAAGATGACCAGATCCTTGTACCCACCTCAATTACGTTTTCAAACTTTAGTGCTTTTAGTAGTGAAACATATCCCAATTGTCATTAGCAAAAAACAAAATAAAACCTTATCTTTCAGATGAATAACCTGCATGTAAAAGGTATTGTACAGATAAAAATGTTCTCCTTACCAGTCATCTGGTTTGACAGCATTTGGATCAGGTATTTTTGGTCTCTCATCCCAATCATCAGGCTTCTTATCACTAGGATCCTCTATTTCTTTGGGAGGGTTTACTGGAGGAACCATATCCTCAAGAAGACTTCCCTTACTGACAACCGATTGGTCGATTAAGATCTCAAATGTATCATCTGGTTTTAGCACTAAATTGAAGAAATTTGTATTAAAAGAAATACGGGAAGCATTCATTTTACAAATATCTTTAACCAAAACCTATATAATAAACACAGACTTAGCGAAATAACGGCAAACAGGATCCTCACTAGCAGAGCAGGAGACAGACTCCCCACCCAGGTACTGGATCTGGACACAAAACATTGAAGTTGCTACTGTGGGGACGTACGACCAGTATCAGGCCCCCAAAAGTGAAACCTCTAGCAAATTCAATTGCTGAAACACATCCAAGCACATTCAAAGAAATTTTTCAAAAACCTACCACTTGGCCAAAATTCTGCTTTATTTATTTATTTAAAAACACAGACAACGAAAGACAAACCTCTGCCCCAAAAGGCATCTCTGCTACCAAATTACAATCTCACACCTGAAAGCATGGAAACACAAGAACTGCGTCAGTAACACAGCTGAAGGATCATCAAAGCAATATTTTCTCTGATTCAAACTTGACAGCCATTTCCCTCAAATGCCAGACTGCAAATACAGAAACTTCTCTTCAAATGTTTAAGTATTTTAGCAAGCGTGAGTGAGAAGCCAGGGTCACAGAACTGAGCAGTGTCAGACTTAGTAATAGACGTTGTATCCAGATCCATTTCTAATAACCAGTGAGCACATTTTAAGTGCTTAACAAGTATATTCAAATGTCCACTCAACACAACGAAGATTATTAATACAAAGTAAATACTATTCCACTTTCATGACAGTTTTATAAAAAAAGGGTGATGAAACCAGGGTAACAGTCTTACAATGACAGTTTGATAATATCTAATGAAGCTCTTGCAGCCTAAGTTTTCAACAGTATTAAAATATCCATAAATGCAAAAATTAACCCCCCATATCACTTTAGATAGAACTGATTTTTATACTTATGTTATCAGTCACATAATGCATTAGAATCACACACCTCTATGGAGTCTGTTTGAACAATTATAACGAATAAATGCAATCCAAGTTTAAGTATTTTTAAACATAATTTCTAATGAACAGCCCAAATACAGGAACACATGAATACCACAAGAACAGTGTTTTGTTTCACTTATTCCTATTACCAAAAGTGAAAGTTTGCTATGGCACACCACGGTAATTTATTTTAAAGAACAGTAAGTTTGCCCATGGCACAGCAGTTGAACATGCCTTCCATTATTATTCAATGGAAGTTCAAAAGTGCAGCCAATTTTGCTGGATTTGCAATATGCCATGGATTACCCATTCTTCTCTGATTATTTATTCTTCCTCAGAAATTAGAAAAAGGGCAGAAAAAAGAACTAAGAAATTAAACTTTCATCTCTGCTATACTGTTCATTGGAACAGAAAGAGATGTCACATGAATTAAACCCAGCCCATACTCATTCATCTTCAGAGAATGCGGAAACATATCTGTGTGCATGTGTTCTGGAAAAAAAAACTAAGAAATTAAACTTTCATCTCTGCTATACTGTTCATTGGAACAGAAAGAGATGTCACATGAATTAAACCCAGCCCATACTCATTCATCTTCAGAGAATGCGGAAACATATCTGTGTGCATGTGTTCATCCACACTGCTGCAGATGCAGCTGTTAGTGAGAACTCTTAACATGTGGAGGAGAGTTGTGTGTGGCATGCTGCAGATTTAACTGCATTTCTGTGAACTCTGATGCCTTCCTAGAATATTGGACGGTTGTGGGTTTTTTAATGTCTTTCTTAACAAAAATATTTTTATCATAATAAATACTGAAAGTATTTATCAATTCTTCACACTAAAGGCTGGCCAGGGCTGATATGTTTTGTCCTGTAATTGAATATTAAACAGCAGCATTTCAAAGCCACTTTTATGTCCTGCAGTTAAGCTCAGTCATTAAATCATTTAAGCCCAGTCATGAAATCATTTAAGCCCAAATTGTTAAGCAACCACCCCTCAGAATTAACAGACTACTATAAACAAAAAAGCAGACTCAAATACAAAGCTTCAGTGGACAGAAACACATTTTTAATCTCTCCTTTCTAATTTAAACTTGTAAGAATGAAACAATACCAAGAGTATATAGATGCGTCTTCTTGTCCAAATAGAATTTTTTTAGGTCTACGTCAGGACGTTTTGCATGTTTTTCATCATATTCTCCAGTTTTAGGACTCTTATGTCTGAAGATAAAGTGTAGTTTGTAATCTTCTCCACATTTATCTGGTCCAAACATAATAGTGTAAGGTGTTTTGTCAAAAAAGTATTCCTGTAGAAGCAAGAAAGCTGAGCATGTGTTATACTGTACATTTTATGAAGTCACTTTGGGTACTTCTTTTCCTTGATGCTGTGTCATACAGCATAGTTACCTTTTTCTAAAAGGTAACTGAAAACTGGTAGGGTAAATCATGAAAGGAACTGAACAGTCCTCTTGAGTTGCTGGGTGCCCTCTGTTCTTAGGGAATGGACTAACCATAGAGATCACTTAAGCCTCTTCAAAGGAAGATTAATATACTTATTTAGACCTTAGCTTTATGTTAAGTGGAAATGCCTATCACAAATCAAAACACCCAAATATCTATAACCTTCTACAAACATTACACTAAAAGATGGAAAGGAACTAGTTACTGTTCTTCATATCAATTTTATTTTTCAATAAAGATAAAAAACAGGATATTATCATCCAGTATTTTATCAGTCGTCTTGCTTCACATTAAATAACAGCAACAAACAACCCTGAAAATATGAGGTATAGTTATTCTCCTTCAGAGCATGCTGCAGCAAGCTGTTTAGATATGTCAGTGTTTTTCAACTATTTATATGATTTTTGTATTTGGAATACGCAGTAACATGCTGCCTTATATTCTTAAGCAATTGCTTGAAGGAAGACGACCACTCGATTCCTGGAAGTCGTCTTCTTGAAAGATATATTCTGACATAAGTGTACTGTTTGAAATGTCATTCACTTTTTGAATGCAAAGTGAAACATTTTCACTTTATGCACTACAGAAGTGCACGTATTTTAAGTTTGGTCCCTTTTACAACATTCAACAGTCTTAGGAAAATGTCACTGCTAAGAATTAACAGTAATTCACTGACTATTCTAATAGCAATAAGCATACATACAGCATCGAGACATTTCCAATTTTGAAGTTAAAAAAACAAGAAAGAGAGAACATTGACTCTTTTAAGTTACCTCATCACACAACTCCAAAAACGGTACAGGATGAATTGTAAGCCAGGCCATAAACAGGCAAATTTTGCATTTGCTGTCTTCTTGTTTACCTTCTAGGAAGACCAACATACTAAGGCACTTATTAATTTTTCACGCTTGATCATTCAGACCTTTTCCTGGGAATTGATTCTCCATCACTTTCAGTTTCTAAATCCAAGTCGTGGCCCTTTCTAAGATGCCATGTTGTGTGCCATGCAGTAAAAAAATTGTTTAACAAGTTACAAGTTTAGATTCTATGGCCTCTATTATTGCAGAAAGTCAGACTAAACAGACACAAAAGTCCTTTGTCCCGGATATAAGACACCACTCGTGCAGAATTAAGAGGACTATGTTAATCACAGCAAACGCTTCATTCTAACTTTCTGAAATTCACATTGAGATTTCTTGCGTGAATATAGATCTTAATAGCTTACTTTAAGTTTTAAACTACCTAGAAGTTTCATTAAAATAAATTGAAATTGTAACAAGAATAACATTATCAAATATTCCTCTAGTAAAAAATGCACAACTCCAAAGGTTTTGTGTATATATAATAAATTATGTGTATATTATTATCTTGCTTGATATTCTGCTTAAACATTTGAAAAGCTTTTTAAGAATTCAGGATGCATTAGGAATGAATTTCTTACTGACATTTCACAAAAACAAGTATGCATTCTTCAAATGAACAACTGATAACAAACGTTAAGTAAGAGGACATACCAGATTCAAGTCACCACTACTGGAGAGAAGTTTAATATATGCACCACCACAGTCAATGCCTTCTTGAAAATTCACTTCGTATCTGGGCAAAGAGCAAGTTAAAAAAAACATTCCAAGTATCACACAAATACAAGTCAACTTCTAATCTGCAGTCCTAATTATGAATACATTACGACTGTATATTAGTCACCACTGTCAAAACACTTTTACATGACCAAAAGGTTTTAATTGCCACACAAGCTAATATAGCAGCGATGTCAGTCAAAAAACGCCACAGTAGCAATTGCTACAGTTGGTATCACCAGTAAGAAAAGTTTCAAGGTGGTATCAACCAACATGCACACATCAAAGTGAAGTAGAAATGCGCAAGAGTTCTAGAAAGTTTGTGCCATCTTTGAAACTGCCCGTATGACACACTGAATTAGCCAGAGGAGTTATCTGTATATGTCTGCAAGTACAACAAAGCAAGTCTGAATATCAGAAAAAAGTAGTCATATTGCCATGGTGCTCATCATCACTAATATTGCTATAATGTGTTCAAGATTCAAGTTGCTTTTACAGAGCTACACAGAAGTATTCTGTAAGTGGAAAAGCACTGTACTCAAACTACATATGATTTAGATCTTTTAGACTATGATTGAAAATTAATTAGCTTTTCCAGCAATTTTATATAATATTAGATTTCTGTCCAAAAATATTTCAAAAGAGTTTAAATATCACTTCTTAACACTTGTACTACAATCTTACTTGATTATTAAATCATTCATACTTACAGTTCTGATAGTTCTGGATAGGATAGGTCAATACTATATGGAAGTCAGTATTTTTCTATAGGGATTCACATCACTTTCTTGACTTAAAGATTTTAATAATAATAATAAATATTAAGTTAAAAATCTGAGGGATTACTTACTGAACAATCAAAGGTTTATTATCGAAAATAAATGCCTTTGTTAGCATAGCTGATATTGCGTGATGCTTTGCCACTGATTTTAACACTAATCCTCTGTCTCCAGGCACTGTGTTTTCTTTCAGCTCTTCTATTTCCCATCTTCCTAAAACACACACACACACACACAGAGCCTTTGAAAAAAACAGAGGCTGAAGTAAAGAAATCATAGCCTTGTTGAAAGCAAAGAGTTAACAGCAAATAAAGACTAGTTGCCAAAGAAGGGAAGAAATCTTGACATCTGATGTCAAAGAAGTTAAACAATAATCATCCAATTCATTACTGGTAATTCTACCATGGATACAAAACATTACTCAAGTCGAGCTTACGCCTCCCCAAACTAACCGCTCTACAGCACTCAAATACAAGAAAAGCATTCATGGTACACAAATTTGCTGCTCACATCTTTCTATCAAATCAGTGACAGAACATTTCAACCAGCACTTTTCAAGAATTAGAAACCACTAGAATTCCAGCTCTACAGTTAGATGATAAAATAAAAATTGTGTCATGCCAAAAATCCATCTAACCCAACGTTCTGGATCAGACAGCAAGGAGGAAAGAAAGCTTATGGAAAAAGAGTGGAAGTAGTTGCAACAACAAGAAGTGACAAGCTTTTTCTTATTTCTACAGCAGTAAAAAATCCCAGTTTCATAACTGTTATAGCCAAAAGAAAGAAAATTATCAAAATCTCAGTTTTATGTGTAAAACATAATTTTCCAACTAAAAAAAACCACCAGCCATGGACTCCAAAGTAGGAAAGAACCACATCCTTACCATAATCTCCATAAACCAATGAAATTGAATAGAAAAATGTACACATTTAACATAAAAATGTTTTTACATCACAAAATTTAATTGTTTATTGCACAAACCCGTAGCATGTGCTACATATCCACATCCACTAGATTTCTGTTTAATTGCAATATTGTATGAAAGGATCAATACATTTTAGATATGTCATTTTATTCAAGCCTAATGCTTGCATTGCTAATACAGAGACTGTTTCAAAGCTCTGGTTCATATTTAATGAGTTTTATTGTAAGAATCTATTTCAGCCTTAAGAAATTGGCAGATAATTAAAGAGATGCCTACACTTTGGGTATGCATAGCTCTACACAGAAAAGCCCGCTCTCCCATTTCACCAAAAAGGTATTAGTTCTAGCCAATTAAGATAATGTTAGCTTTCAATATTTTAAAGATGGCACATGTGTAAAGTATACGTTATTCCTTGCTCTTCTCAAATTTACAGAAATCTACACGAAAACTTTAATATTGTAGATCTGTATCTTTAGACCATGGTATCCCACAATGCCTAGAGGAACACAAAATATTTCTCCAGATTTTAGATTTGTTCCCACCATTGTCACATAAAAAGTATTAGTCACAAGGCACCGTGTAAGCTAGATACCTGAACAGTTCTTCCCCTCCTGCTTATACAGAATTAGAATCTTTCAGTTCAAATCTAATCACATGGGAGATGAAGCTTCCCCCCCACCGAAGTCTTTCCAAGAATTATCAGATCTGATCTTAAAGACAATCAAACAAGCCTACAGGTTTAAAAAGAAAAGATTATATAATTATAAATTCTCCGAGTTTGGGAAAAATACAGTTGATTACACATGTGGGCAATATCCAAAGAACGAGACTTCTAAAAGGGCAGTTCCATTTTCTCAGAGATTAGCAGCACAAGATTCACTGATTTTTTTTCCTGGAACAAACACAGCACAAAAGAAAGACTACTTTTACAATTCACTGTAATCTTGAAAAAAGCCTGTGTCAACATGAACAAAAGGAAGAAAACGTAATGAGTTCTTCAGCGTGTGTTTTAGAGAAGATTCACAAACTATAAAACCCAAACAGAACAGCTATTTACTTTTATTCAACTGAAGTGCGATTTGTGAAAGGTCGTTAAGGAAGGGCACATATGTACGTCAACAACAAATCCCTGGTTTCTTCTAGTCTGCTGAACAGGAGGGAGGAAAATTCCCTCCTCTTCAATAGCATTCCTTCCTGGAAACTAAGACCAAGCAATAACGCCAGGCAAAACAAGACGACAAAAAAAAAAAATTAATTCGAAAACAGTTCAAAAAAAAGTCTTTTCACCACAGACTTTATTAATGTTGAATTGTCTGGGTGACTTTAAGCAAATACGACTGTTTTGACATGAGGGACAATTTCTATCTAATATGAGGCCAAGTAATCAGAGAGAACGTCAGTTCTTACAAGCATCTCATCTGTATGGATATCTCCTCTGCAACTTCTTTATTTTTACCAGTTATTTCTGGTAACTGCTAAACCTAAAAACATCTGTTCTGTACTGTTTTGCACACTTAAGTCCTACAAGTTACATTTGCTTACCACTTTCTATTAACATTAATTGATTTCATTTGACATAAGAGCAGTAGCAAATACTTTTCCTTTTGCAATAGAAACTTTTTCTGTTCTCCCCACTTTCTCTTGAATGAAATAAATTCAGGTTTCAAAATTATTGCCATAGATCACACATCGGTCAAACAGTTTAAAATTACATTCAAGCAGGCAATTCTAGCCTAGGAATTTATAAGTCAAGCGCAAACCCCAATGATAAAAACTGTCAAAAGAACTTTTTCATTATTACTTTCCAAATTTTTTTCGACTACTGTAAGAATGAACTGTACAAGAACCACTGGAGAACCGTATATTCAAGCATAGACAATCTGAAAAAGTATTTTAAAGAAAAACATAATTCGGTTTAACTTTTATGTTTCAGAGGCCAAACTGGGAGACCAACCCATGAATCAGTAGGACAGATGCAGCAACATGGAACATGCTGTTTTAGAAACGTGTTTAACAACTGAAATTGAAGTGGTAAATCTCTCTGACACAATTTCAGAGAAGGTAGTCCTCAAGAAGCACTATTCATAATCAATTACTACTGAATATTTAGATGCCAGAGGGTATTCTAGTATCATTCATTGCAATAGATTGCTGGGATGACAAAAGAAATTATCTTCACCTTAAGTAACCCAATGAGCAACATTTCACATCTCAGTTTCAGGGTAACAGTCATTATACAAACTAACATTTTGACCTGTGTCATCTAGGTTTTCAAAGGTAAGTTCAGTGTAAGGGGTAGTTACTTCTCAAAGAGCAACAGAACATCAGAAACTATATAGTGGAAGTAAACATTAAAACCGCTTACCATCATATTTAGCAATGTTATCATCCGTGTCTTCTTTCTTGGTTTTAGACAACACCCACCTAAAACAAAAAGTGTACTAGTCATTGAACTATCTATGCAAAGTTGTATTATTTAACAAGCACAGGAAAACCAGCTTTCACTTCTAGGCTGTGAACCTGTGATAATGATTTTGACAGTCAGCATCATGGAGCTTTTTGTAGTTCAAAGAACATGAAAAGAAAAATTAAAATAGATCAGTCTAATATAGCATTTCAAAAAACTTCCTAAGAATGTAAATGAATATACAATTACAACACTAAAGTAATTAAATTATTCTGAATAAACTTCAGTTTTATATATAAGCTGACTTTGGCAGAATGTAAGAATATCACGTGAGCATATAATGCCAAAAAGACATGGAAAATAGCAAGGTTCAAGTGTAAAACCTTCAATATGATAAGGAAAGGAAAAAAAATCACCTGAAGAAACCTTAACACTATCTGACAGTAACAATACACATGCATAGCAGAGGATGAAAGGAAGAGGTAAAAGTGTCCAAATGACAAATGTAATTATGCACTGAACAGATTCCAAATGTATTGCACATAGGGGATCCCAACAGGGCAAACAAACTCCTGATCTCCTTGATACTATGGACAAGGCAAACTCAGTTTATCAAATTGAGGTTACCAAAAAGATATGCAGATACCCTACACACAAAGTGTTCAATTGGAGGAGGGGAGAGGCGGGGGGGGGGGAAGGAAAAAAAGGCAGTCCACCCTCATCTGGTCATACAGTGGTTCCATCCCGAGCCATGCACAGGAATATCTTAAGCCAACAGTGTCACTGAACTCTTCATTGTATGAACTACAATACTACATTCTCATGACTAATTCTGTAAAGAACTATCTTCATTCATTCTGAACTATCCTCTGGATGGAGTATTTCAGGGATGAGTATCTTTTCTGCTTGAATTTCAGTCAGATTTGTTCACTGTTAACAGAGATGCTCGAAAAGCTTCACAACATAAATGGCAAACTAGATCCTTGGTCTACCAGGAGAAAGACCAATGAGGAAATAAAACATCTCTACAAGTCATGCAGAAGATTATCAAGGCCCATTCTCAAACAAGCTACTCTATTCTGGTGATTTACCTAGTCAATTCATACGTATTCTTTTCCCCAATTTTAGGAAAGAAAGGCAACATGCTGCTTACTTTCTCATACATCTTAGTTCCATACTTGTTATTCTTATGTAAATTATGTACAGCTAGACCAAAAAATCCCAAGCATTGTAGCTAAAGTTTTGAATATTAGATTTAGTAGGAAGACAAACTAATCTTTGAACAGATCTCACGAAGCTAGAAATTGGGATGAATGATACTATTCAAGTAGCCCAGTTAAGTTTTTGCATTTATTAATCAAGGTTTTCAGTTGTCTGTTTGTTGTTTTTTTTTTTAACCAACCATTATCATCTTTTCTATTTAATCATTTTTCCTGTCAACATTGGTACTGCTTTTGTATTGCACTTCTTAACATTCAGAAGTGACTGATTAAGACAAGTGATACACTGAAGATGGGAGCTTGTTAACTTATTTTTCTTCTATATTTGGTCTAAATATGTAACAAAAATAAGAAAATATGACAGAACATAATGTGAGTAATGACAGACTAATGTTCAGTGGCCTGTTCCCTGTTACTCTACAGAAGAGAACAGTTTAGAAACAATTGGAAAAAGGGAGTAAGATTCAGTCTTACAGAAGTTACGGGTCCCTGCTACTATGTTATTTTGTTTACAGTTTAAACTGTGCATCCTCAACAGACATACACGTCTTACAATGGTATAATCTCACGCCTATAGTAGATGGATCTCAGTCTTCTCACAGGAAGTAAAAAAAAGGCAGCTTTAAGTTCTACCATAATGAATGTATCGTATTGCATCTCCTTTCACCTCTCTGTCTGGCTCTTCACATGTGCCTTCTTACACATACCTAAGTGCATGTGAAGAGGAAGAAAGAGTTTGCTACTGCAGCGTAATGGCTATACACTTCACCTTGCAGATAGTTAAACTCAACTGGCTAAATCTTGAAATTATATTATTTTTCTTAATGTTCATAAACCCAGAGTTTATTAAAAGCTTCCTTAAAACACAAAAAATAGCAACATACCTGAAATGTTAACTGTCCGGCTTAACATTATGATGTATTTGGAGCAAGCATTACCAGCCTTCCCAATTCTAACCCCTGTAAAAATTAATTTTTATAAAGATTCTAGCAGAAAAATGAATACAAAATAAGTCCTGCCACTATAAGTTAAATTGCTGAAAGTAAAAGTTTGTAATTTTAAGGCATAAACTTACCCAGCCAATACTCCATCAAAGGTTTCTGTAAAATACACTTCCCCAGTTGGCTTTGGAGTCTGGTACACAACCTAGAAGACACGTACAGATACACACTCTAACATAAATTACAATTTTTCATTTGAAATACACTATCATACCTCCAGAAGTAGTCCACACAGACAGACCACCAGATTTTCTTCATCAGAAACATCTAGCAGCATAAAACACCTTCCCCCGCCTCCCCATGCCCCTCTCATTTCTACAGTTTGGGCACATCCCTCTAACAGTGAGCAATTTCACATCCATGAATTTTAAAAACTGCTTCCTGTGTTCAAAGCTCATAACTAAAGCACTGTTACACTGTCACCCAGAAAATTTACTGAACTTGCACCAATTCTCTGCTTCCTCCCTATTTCTTTCTATACATGTCTTCCCCTCTTCTGTTTTCCTATCTTTTTGGCACGTTACAGTTGGGCTACACAATAAAAAGAAAAAGTTGAAAAAACAATTTATGAATATTGCCCACATCTATTATGAAGTACAGCATAACAAATGCAGAAAGATTTTCTGGGAATAAAGACAGTGTCAAAAGGCAGCCATGACTGATGAAATCTAGAAACTGGTCTACAGTCAAAATCTCAGTAAGACCAAGATGCTTTCTGCCTTCTTCTCTAGAAATGGCATGTTAGGACTTACAACAAAAGGTTCTGTATCTAGATTGAAGCACAGACTAGCAAAACCTTCTTCATGACTATCCACCACTCGCAGGAAATCTGATTTTACACTTTGGCATAGCAGAATCATTCATTAAGCTTGTCCTACATGTCACATACAGCAACTGAAAAACTCAGACTGGTGGGTTTGACACCCACTCATTTGTCAACTGCGTGTTAACTTGCTCTTTTTTAAATGCATTTGTCCACCAATTTCTCTACTAGTTATAACTATGTATCTTACAATTAAACAAGCTTTAACTAAAGACTTCTGTAATCTTACCTCTACGGAAGGTTCATCTCTGTCAAAATCAGCTTCTTGAGACTGCTTGTCAAAATCCTCCACTTCAACATCTGCATCCAGAGCTTCTTCGTTTTCAATTTCTGCAGTCACTGAGCTAATTATCAGGACACCCAAGCATAGCCAGTCCCACTGGAAGTGCATCCTGGTTATCTGAAGAACTGACAGTTTTAAATTTTAAATATCGTTGCAAGGATATTATCAATACTATTTCAATTTTACCCCAGACTTTATCTACGAGAGAAGAAACACATTAAAATAATAAGAAATAAAGATCATAAAGTATTGTCACTATTGTATTTTAGTAAAGTGCTGTATCTTAATTTGAAAAATTTCTTACTGCACAGCCCTTTCTCAGACTCTTTTTCCCTTCCTGTTGTCCCTACGGAAGTGCTTGTAGTCTGTTCCCTTATCTTGCCAGGCCACAAATCTAGCAAGAATTTGACTGCAGCATATATGCATTTTTAAGAACTAAGACAGGCTGCTTTTATTTTTCTCCTTCCTTAACAATCTGAACAAGTACTCAAATTGAATCAGTCTGTACAGTGTAGCAAAAAGTAACATCCCTTTCATTAGGGAAAATAAAATTCATAGATTTAGGACGTATTATTATCCATGGCCAGAATTCTCTTTTGTATTTGGCTCTTCTTCCTGTCTATGTTTAGATGAGTTTATATCAACTCCAGCTGTAAGTGACAAAAGAAAGTATAAGACTGTTTCAGAAAACATTTTCTGTTTCGAAATTACCCAGTAAGTGCAAAAGTTTAAGCTTAAATGCAAATATCTTTCTAATTTCAGGGAAACCTGAAAATCTTTAATCTGTGTCAGTATGCATGTCAATAGCAGATAACTACCCCAGCCTCTCAATCTAATCTGCTGCAAAAAAGAAAAGATTGTTGCTCAGTATTTTTTGCTTTACATCCGTAACGCATACAAATCCAGTTTTATATTAGAGTATCCAATGGTTTATTACAGTGTAGTATTGAGCACATGCCTATGCAAGTTTCCTCAGTGGTCTTGCCAAAAATGCTTCTTTCTGAATTTGTTTTTGTCTGAATTTGGAAATAGAAGGAAGACAGATTCTAGATACCACTGCACAGGTATTTATCCTTTGGTTCTTATTAATTTCTATCCACAGTAAGTTTAAAAAACCAGACAAATACTGACATTTAGTTTGCTATTGCAAGACATTTTCAAACCTTGCATTACTTTCAACCGCTACTAGTCATACTAAATATTCTGCTACTGAGGTGCTTTCTGCACCTGAGAAAGAAGGTAGTTATATCATCGCTCTTCAGAGATTAAAGTGTTTACCACTACAACCCTAAATATCCCAGCAATTCAAGATTCCACCTTACACTGGAAGTGTGAGTCTCTTTCTTTCTTCCTGGCTCTATCAGATTTGATAAGCAATTCAGACATTAGAACTGCACCAATAATGATTTATCATTTACAATATTATTTATCTTGCAATAATTATTTATCATTCGATTTATAACATCTGCAAGTTCTATCAAGCAACACATACAGAGATCAAACAGTATCAGGGCTAAAAACCCCCACATCCCAGTATGACTGTACTACAAATGTCCAAAAAGAAAACTAATTATTTTTTCCTTATTCCTTTTAAGATCTATTCATTTAATATTGACTGCACTGATTGTATTTAGAGCCAAAACCCAAAGTATCATAAAGAAGTAAAATGTTTCACACACTAGTACTATGTCAATATTAGGAAATAATCAAAAGCCTCCCTTCTTGGGACAAACACCTATTTTCCACAAAACTACATTAATAACCCATGCCACTCTTTGCGGGACTTTTCATCCTGATGTGTATTTTGCTTGAGGATGGCAAGTCTATGGTTCCCTCTTTTCTCAGTTATTAACACAGTGATACATCTCAAAAGTTACCTGCAAATTTTACTAGGTTTTTTGTGGTTTTTTTTTTTTAATTTTAGTTAAAAACTACAGATATTGTTAATTCATAGACCTCCTTGGCCAATTCTAGAACTTAAAATAATCTTGCCCCGAAGATTTAAAGTCATTCAGTTTATCATATGTGAACATTCAATCTTACGGTGTACTTCTGAAGACCTTTGTCTGGAGGTTATCACACTTAGTTTTACCACACCCCTTTTCTTGTTCTTAATCATCGTATTAGGACAAACAATTGAAGGATTTCATATCAATACCTTACGGGACTCCTTTGCTCTTAACTAAAGCGGTATATATTAATTGGGTATTAGACTTGCTTTTTTAAACTTGCCTACCTTACGTTAGCTAGTTTGTCCTGCAGGTGGTCTCCTCCTTTTCTCCTAAAGCAGATGAAGAGAGACATCTTTCTTTGTCAATACATTTCAGGTGTATTTTGTGTACAATTCAAAATGCCTTCCACTTACAGTAATTTTACTGTAATTAGCCCCATCCACGTTTGTTCCATACACAGACTAGCAAGGGCATCCAAGAAATCAGACCAGTACTCACCTTTCCACACAGTTCCCTTCCAAAACTCCTGATGCTTTCACTTCATTCATGCCGAGTCTTATCACTACTCCCTGATCCTAGCCTAGGACATTCCTAATTTCATTCAGTCTTCAATTACATCTCTTACTTTTCCCTTCAAGAAGAAAAGGCACACTTTTTTGACCTTTGACGTCTTGACACACTTTTAAAATAATCCCAGAAACACTGAAATACGTTATCAAGAACAATTACAGTTATCACTCAATTGCCAGGCAAGGATTGTTTTAAATAAGACCATTACATCTTTTACTTTTGTGAACTCTGCCAGCACTACAGTGTCAGAATGTAAAATAAATCTTTCAACTAAGCCAAAGAGTTCCTGGTCTCAAAACAGAACTTCACACTACACACTTAATTGTCTTTAAAACCTACTGAACTCTCCGAATTAACACACGAAGACCTATGAAAAACTTTCCTTATTCTTTCCTCAAGGTGACCATAAAAACAAGCCAAAAGGATCCCCACTGTTAAAAGTTCCTCAGCAGAACAGAACAAGTTATCCCAGTCTATGGCACTCACACAAACACCGAACATGTTTACTAGCAGTCTTGGCCTAAGCGCCAAAGACCAGTGACTTCCAAACCATCTTTCAGGGAGCTACAGCAAATAGGTAATTGCGAAACCATACATCTTGACAGTGGTTTCAATTAGGGATGTGATATCACTACAGTATGACCCATGAGAGAACTGGATAGCCATTCTTCAGTTTGAAAAGCTGTAATCATAGAAGTTGACTCGCTGAACTTTATCCGATAATAATTACACCTCCAAAACAGGATTCCCAATATTTCCTTTTGGGATGGGCAGTTTATATTCAGCTTTCTCTAGACAAACATATTCTGTCAATATATATAACTTCAGACCTGTAATTTTAAACTTAATTTTTGCATAGCTTGGTCACTCTTTACCATGGGAACATGGGTAACTACAGCACATCTATACATCAGAAGAGACATTTGAGCCGGCAGTACTATTGTAAAAGCATGCTCTTGGGACCAGCAACAGCGCTGCAACATTAGCATAATATTGCACCTAAAGTAACGAGACACTGTTTCTGATACACATACTAGTATTTAGGAAAAACAACAGGCATAAACTGAGACAATATTCTGACTGGGTATTAGAATCCCTCCCCCCCCCC